TTTACAAATCTCCATACTCCGGGTTGTTTCAAAACCAATTGATGTCCCTACCATGATGGCAGTGCGGGACAGGAGGAGAAGTCCATCTTGGCGTCGACTCCTCAAGACCTAACTTTGCAACAGGCTTCAAGAGAGTCTGGCGGCCCCATGGTCCTGGCTCCTTGAATGTCGTCATGAACCTCGAGTCCTCATCCAAATCATGCGGCAATCCTCTTTTCCAACAGTCAATGACTGGGATCAGGACTTCGGAAACGTATTGATCAGGAGTAATCTCCTTGAACCCAAATCGCTCGACTGTGTCTCGTACCGCCTCAGGGGGGTATAACCCTACTTCCTTCTCCAATGCAACTGCATCAGCAGCAACCAAGGAGCTAGTGATGTGATATGAGCCGCCTTCAACTACCCGCCTCTTTACCGCAATCATGGCACCAACCGCACCGACAATTCCCGTTATCATATCAGACACAGGGAGTGGTGGCAATACACTCTTTCCTTCCTCATAGCCTTGTGATCGACCCATTACATATTCGCTTCCAGATGCCGCATCCCCAATTTGTTGCCAACCAGGACGCTCATGGAACGGGCCATCTGGACCGTAACAGTTCTCGTCGACGTAGATGATTCCCTTATTCCTTTTAGCTGCTATCTCCAGCATGTTGCGGAGCCCCAGTCCTTTCCGCTCCAGGGAACCCATTCTGAACCCTTGGATGAAAATATCAACATCTGCAAGCAGTTCTTGCAGTCGTTCTATGTCTTCCGGCTTAGTGATGTCGAGGTCAATTGTCCGCTTTCCCGCATTCAGTGTGAGCTGGAGTGCCTAGAACCCAAGAAATGTTAGTAGGCTTTTACACGACACTGGATCAAGGCAAAACATACGTTAAGGTCAACTAGCCTGCTACAATTCACACGGATCACGTCCGCCCCGTAGGATGCCAAGGTTACGCCGATCTGCGGCCCAGCAATGATACGGACCATCTCCAGGACCTTAATTCCAGCAAGTGGCCGCTTGTCAGATAGACCCTTGACTAGAGGGATTGGAGGTGTGGGCTTTGCATATGTCTCGGCCGTCACATTGACCAAGGGGTGTCTGGACAGGCGTTTACCAAACTCCGTCTTCCTCCAGCCCTCCGGAGAGTAGCAGATGCTTCCACACAGACCATGACGCACATTGTGCATTTCAAGCTCATCGGGCGACCACTTGATGATATGCCCTTGGATATAGTCATAGTATTCTTGGGGTGTGCTGAAAGTCACATCAGGGTTGATTCCCATCGTCCTAAGAGCAGCGTTTGCGTCGAGTGAACCATGAAGCTGGTACCACACTTTGGGATCTTTCGTTTGGTAAATAGCAGTTGCCCGACTTGCTATCCCCTTGCCGAAGCCTTGTTCATAATTCCGTTCGAAGAGTGAACTCAACTTCCCCGACCGTGCCAGGGCGGATACATCGGAACCATTGATGTACGTGGTGAATACAGATCCGAGCCAAATGCCTGCATGGTCGGTATTGACTGTCACACTATTCTCCGTCGCGGGCTTTCCATCACGCAGTTCGAGAAGCTCATTAGCCACTACTCCTCCCATGGCATGAAGCGCAGCTGCCATGACGGGTGATTTGATCGGACCTTGAACCATAGGCTCAGGTCGTCCTTCGAAGTGGACGGTATCCCATAGTGCTTTGTTCTGGGTAAATCCAGGGGTTCGAGAGGCGAGAAGCTCAAACACCCGACGAGCGTCTACAGGCACTGGAAGCACAGTCTTGTCGATGAAAGTGCCAGGTCCGTAGACCTCCGTACCGGGAACAGTTTCGTGGGCCAGTGTCATTGTTGGTTAGAGTTATGTCAGTACCATCAAAGAATGGGAGAAGAAGTAGACGGAATATTCAGTTCAGGATAGAATGAAGAAGATAATCCAGCGACGCGACACTATCCCTTGCGTTAGCTGTCATATTCATATAGGAGACAAAGAAAGGGCCCGGACATTCTGGCTCCACGGCCCGCGGGGTTCCAAGTCCGAGGTCCACGGCACAGCTACCAGCAAACTGGAAATGATCTACTGACCCATGACGTTTGAAAGGGGTTCTGATTGACTAATGGACGCTTAATTCACTATACTGCTGCACAAGTTGGATACAGTCTGGATAATCGTTCCATATCCGGTGAGGGGTCTTGCCACGGGCCACGGGGACACAAAGGATGAAAGTCAATCATAGCCTTTTAGGGATACAGACACCAAGAAGCAAGGGGATGCTACTGGTCCACTCGGATGGAAGGGTCCATGCTCAACATCCTTGACCCAAGAGCTGTTCACTATTCGACGACGCAATTCTTTGTCCAACTACCTGAATATCCGAACGATGGCCGAGGTACGGGAACTTGGTATATAAGGCGCGGTTCATGTATACCAAGAAATGCGGGGATTGAGTCTATCTTTGAAGCGACTACCACTGAGGTTGAAACCTTGTAAACATGTCTTCTGCAACAGAGACACGCCCTGTTAGGGTAGCCAACTGCTCTGGATATCATGGTAGGCAACCCGACATTCTGAACGAGACACTCAAGCTGAAATTGTATGGCAGGCGATCCGGCGTATGAAATGTACCGACAGGCAACATTGGGAGATGTTGATTTTATAACGGGTGATTATCTTGCAGGTAAGCCATACTCCTCTTACTTCTACGAAACAACTGCGGTTCTAAGCTCGAGTGTGTAGAAGTCAATCTTGCGAACAATGCCCAGGCATGGCGAGAAGGAAAGCATCCCGGATACGAAGCTACTGCCTGGGAAGGACTTCAACAGACCATCGAAGTGATTGCGCAGAAGCGTATCCGAGTGGTCATCAACGGTGGTGCTTTGGATCCTAAAGCTCTTGCACTGAAGACCCAAGCTCTGGTAGGCCGCACTACTTCTATATACTAGAGTTTGGCGAGCATACTGACACAGCTTTCTATTCTATAGGTATCTGAAAAGAAGCTTGATCTCCGTGTTGCGTACCTCTCAGGCGATGACTTGTATGATCGCGTTGGACCAAACATGCCAGCCACTAAAGAAGAGCTGACCCATCTTGATGCTGGGAACTCAGATGTGGTACCTTCGGATCTCACCTACGCATTTTTGAACACATCAGACGGGACGGCAGTCCCAATGGTATCTGCACATGCGTACTTGGGTGCCCGTGGCATCGTGGATGGCCTGCGCCGAGGCGCCGATATCATCATCTGTGGCCGCGTTGCTGACGCAAGCCCTGTTATCGCTGCAGCATGGTACTGGCATAACTGGTCAGAGACAGACTACGACGAGCTTGCCGGATCGCTGATTGCTGGTCATTTGATCGAGTGTTCTGCGTATGTGACTGGTGCCAATTTTGCTGGGTTTGATAAATACCCTCTGGATGATCTTGTTGCTCCCGGGTTTCCTATCGCTGAGATTGCTGCGGATGGCACATGCGTCATCACGAAGCATCCAAACACGCAGGGTATCGTGAACTCGGAGACTGTTTCCAGTCAATTCCTGTATGAACTGCAGGGGAGTACTTATCTCAATAGTGACGTGAGTGCTTATATCGGCGATGTTGCGGTCAAAGACGTGGGGAAAGATAGGTAAGTATCTTTGACGCGATTATTTTGGATTGGCGAATATATCTAATCATGGTAACATGAATACAGGGTGCACGTGTCGGGTATTCGAGGATCGCCTCCACCCCCGACGACCAAGCTTGCTGTCTTCTACCGAGGAGGATATGAAGCCCAACTTCTACTCAATGCAACTGGGTATGCTACGGATAAGAAGTGGGATCTTTTTGAGCGGCAGATGCGTCATTTTCTTCCTGAAGAAGTCAAGAAGGGTTTGGAGACTTTGGAGTTTCAGAGGTACGACTTGTCCTTCCCGTGCTCGTTCACTGCCTAACATTCGTAGAATTGGAACTCCCGCAGCCAACCCAGCCTTCCAGGCCGAAAGTACTACGTATCTGCGTGTATTCGTGGCATCACAGTCAGAAAGCGCTGTTCTTGCTGTAGCAAAGGCTATGAAAGATATCTCTCTCAAGCATTTCTCCGGTACGTGGCCCAATGTATTTTCTTTTGTCCAATCACATGTATATAAACCTGTCATCTAACGAGATGGTAAATGTAGGCTTTCATACCTCACTGGATACTCGAACAGCCATTCCCCTGCCGTTCCTCGCGTACTACCCAGCACTGATAAAGCAATCCGAGATCCACGAGAAAATAAATATGATAAACGCGTCCAACAACATCAGCTCATACGATACCGGCCATCCCTCACAATATCAAGACCTCACGCCCCGGGAGAATTACGACTCAGCAGAACCACAAGTGTTCAGAAGTCCCACCAAGGAACTCCGCTTGGGAGACATTGCTCTTGGCCGATCCGGCGATAAGGGCGGAAACCTTAACTGTGGGATTTTCGTCACGAACCCCAAGCACTGGGCCTGGCTTCGATCATATTTGACCAGAGATCAAATACGAGAGCTCATCGGCAAAGATTGGAATGATAGCTTCTTTATTGAGCGCGTCGAGTTCCCTAATATCATGGCAGTGCACTTTGTCATCTATGGGATTCTGGGACGGGGCGTGAGTAGTTCGAGTCGGCTTGATGGGTTTGGGAAGGGGTTTGTTGATTATATCCGTGATAAGGTGGTGGATGTTCCTGTGGAGATTTTGGGATGATGTCGTACTGGAATATGCTTTTTCTCTGTACATGTTTGTCTATCCTATAGTGTGTTCGTTCTTGAGATAGGGAATTACAAAGTCATTCACCACAGTAGTATCCAATTAATATATCGAAACAGAAAATGATGAGTTTTTGTATTTTGCACTTTGGTAATTTTCTGTATAATGAACAGATTAGTATACTAGCAGATAAAATGTATTGCCAATCCTACTGGAACCTTAGAGGCTTGGATTCGTTCAAAGTAAAAGGGCTGAATATGAATTGGCTATTCTATGTAGACGCAAATAGTCTATACCATTGCTGCTGAGGCGACTAGAGCCCAGAAGGACCAAGTTCGGTGCCATTATTGAGAACCACAGGGTTGCTCGAGTACATAACACCAACCATACGGGCCCACTTGTCTTCGCTGGGGTTTCTCCAACTGTGAGTGGTAGCGCGCTGGATGACCATGTCACCCGGCTTCTGAATGCGCTTCTCGCCTGACTCGAGAGTCAATTCGATCTCGCCTGCGACCTGAATGACGACGTCGAAGCTGAGGGTCCGGTGGGAAGGACTGCCTTTGCCGGGAGGGGTGTCGATGTACCAGATCATACCACGGCCGTCGGGGAGGGTGACTGGAGGCACGCTGGCAGTCTCCAGGTACTCCGTGTAGTTGGTGAGATCGGTGCCATCGAGCGTGTTGGGGGTCTTGTCAGTGATGTATCCTAAACGGAACAAGGAACCTCCGAGATCCTGTCTGACGGCGAGGCTTTCGTCCAGCGTCGTGTTGAAATGAGAGATGCCGGTCTCGAGATCGGTGTCGGTGATGACACGCTGGGGGTTGGGGAGTGGCTCTGGAGTCGACATGGCTGCAATGGAACTGACTGCAGGGACGACAATGCAGTCAGAGATGCGGGTGCCATTTGAGGTTTATGTGATTTTCTTAGGTAAAACCATGCTGTATATTGTCTCCGTATGTCTGGGAACTTACATTTCTTTGTGTTCTTATACCACGGCTCTTTCACTGCAAGGATTTGGCTTTGTTTGATTAGACTGAAACTAAGCCTCAATTAGCAAAGTATGTTAAGTCGAGATAGGCTGGGGCCAAGACAGAAAGAGAGCGTAGGCTCAAGAGATAAGCATACCAAGACCAAGCCTTGTAAGGATGATATTGGGAAGGAAGCAGCTTATGAAAGTGGCGCGCGAGGCTAAGCATCGTAGGCGGCAAGAGAGTAAAGAAGGTCAACGACACGAGGCCGAATTTATAAGCGGGGACCGGCCTCTCTCACTAGAATGAGACAAAATATCGTAAAGCCTCGTCCGACGGAGAAACGAAAGGCACCCTCAAGGGCTCAAAGGATTAGAACGGGGCGGGCGCAGTGAGAACATCCACAGCGGCATCGCCCGCCGCCAAAATGACCAGCCCTAAATAGACTCATGCTTGGTCCAATCAAAAACTAGCCATGGGTGGTTTTCATCCGGTCGGTATCCCTGCGTCTTGAGGTCAGTGCAGTGGAGAGACTGAACTGGCTAGTATTTGATTGGCTCCAATACGCCTTTTTCGGCTCGAATGAGCCGACCATTTGCGAGCTACTGGTTGGTGTCCTAGGATGCAATTAGTGATGTGCTTTGCTGGATACTCAGGGGAACAGCCTTGTGTATCAGGTGGACTGACATGTAGCCTCTTCTCGGAGACTCGGGCTAAGCTAAGTGCTAACGCCGACCGATATCTCCACTACCCATGTAGTGTCTGACTGATGCCACCAATTACCTTGTCGAGTGTGGCTCATCCGGATCCAAAGACCAAGCCAGTGCACGAGGGCCACTACAGACAAAGAGAAAGAAGGCTTGGTGTACAGAATGAATTTGACTTCAAGGTCCGGTTGACTGCCGGGTATCCCACTATACCCCTCAAAACACTAACTAGAAATCATCAATACAGAATAGTAAAAATTGTTGTTGCCTGATGATCCCTGTTGACTTCCGTAGCTTGCCCAACCAATAATAGATCCGCAAACAATTTACGAATTGTACTTGTCGACTGCTGCTTCAACTTGTTGGGTACTCAGGTTTAATGTAATGACATCCGTTACTTGTCTACGGGCCACACGCATTATACAGCTATTCTTCAGGGAAAATAACCCTACTCATAAAGCCATGGTAAGCAGTTCCGATAATAAAGTAATGTGTTCAACTATATCCTTGTCTTGTCATGACTGACTCTCACTCATTCCAATACACCAGCACCGATCGTTGCTTTCTCTTGGTCACGCAGAGCAAGAAGCCATTTAGCAGGCACTAAGCCCTAAACAGGCTATAAACTACCTACGGAGACCTCAAAATGCAGCACGGTACACTACCCATGAGTCCATGCCCTATTGCCCATGATACAGTGACGGTAGATCGACGTGCTGTTGCGTCAATGAGGACAATACGCAACAATAGGAGTATGTGCTTACCAGGAGCTGTTATGGGGAGGCACATAGAAGCCGAGAATGCTTTTATAAAGCCATAGAGCTCGCAGGCTGTCCTGATTGAGAATCGGCTTGGTTGCGTCGTGGTTACTACGTCTTCACGAATTTTTCTTTTGCTTGAGACTGGTGAAATCCTCATTCCTCATCCAATAAGTTGGCTCTTATTTACGCTTTATTCAGTCGCGCCCGCATCCAGTGTTCCCAAAGGCAATGGAAGCAACGAGACTCATACATGTGGTCCTGCCAATGGTGATGCGCTAGAGTGCTTCCGTCTATGCCTGCATCGTGATAAGTTTCGCTAGAACGTCCTAGGCCGGGTAATGCGTCTAAGTGCACTTGTTCCCGGTTTCCCGCACACGTGAGAGGTTGAGGTAGTCCTTTTGTGTCTATCTTTTGGCACAGGATATGGAGGGCTTCCTGCAATTGATTGTGTCCCTTCCCTACCCGAGCTAGACATGCCATCAAACGACTTATAATCCTTCCGTACGGGTGGAGGAACAGTAAAGACGGTGCTGTCGCGACATCTTTATTGTCTCGTCCGCTGGTGATAAGGCCAGAACAGAGACTGCAAGGGATCCTTTAAATATTTGAGTGGATTTAAGTAACATTCCTCTAATGCTGTTGACCGACTATCGAGGAATTTGAGCGGCCGAATAAGATGGAGAGGCGGTGTGGATCTACACGGATCCGGACATAACTATTGAATTGTGCGCAATAGAAGCTACATGACAAATCAAATTGGCAAATGGTGGGACGAAAACAAAGCAAAAAAGAATCATAGGACTCATAAAGCAAATCCCTGGAGCCGGCTAGCAGATGCCGTCGAGATGAGGGGGAGTTTCCACTGCATGCACAGAGGCCCACCTGATGTATAGAGTTTGCTCCAAGGTTTGTAAACTCATGTCCACAATCTAATTTTGATAGCATTTTATCATATATGATAAGTCCTCGCTTTACAATATACCAACATTATGTCTATTGCTACCGACGACACAAAGGTGACAGTGACGCCGGCCACCATTTCACCCTCCGAAGGTTAGATAGACCATATATGCCTTGACGACATAATATACTAAGACACATATTAGCGGGCCAATCTTCTGATTCAGAAACTGTGATAATAACCTGGGATGGAGACAACGATCCCGAAAACCCAATAAACTGGCCCCCTTGGAAGAAGTCAGCTGTCACCGGAATTGGGCTCTTCGCAACCTTCATCGCTCTAATGAATGGAACCATCATCACGCCCGCGCACTATGCAATCGACAGACAGTTCAACATCAATGAAGCCAACTTCCCAAACTCCTACTGGATGATCACCTCCTGGGGCGTGGGAGGTGCTCTTTCTTCTCTTGTGGTTCTACCTGTCATGGAAGACTTCGGCATCCGATACGTCTTCCTGGCTGTTTATCTGATCTACATTTGCTTCTTGATCCCAACGGGTGTGGCGCAGAACTTCGCTACGCTTATCATCACGCGGTTTTTCTCCGGTGGATGCGTTGCAATTCTAGCTAACACAGTGGCCGGAATCATATCTAATATTTATGTTGGGAATCGCGCACGTACTGTTCCCCTGAGCATGTATATCACCATATACTTGGCATCCAGCAGTTTGGGGCCGGTTATTGGTGCTTCGATCTACCAATTCTTGTCGTGGCGTTGGATTGGATATCTACAGCTTATTTGGACTGGTCTTTTCTTCCCTATCTTTGTGTTTGCATTGCCGGAGACCCGTGGCTCTGCTATCCTAAAAGCCCGAGCACAGAAACTACGCAAGGAAGGCAGAAAGGCATACACACAAGAAGAGCTCGAGACCACGTCTATCGTCCAAATTGTCTGGAAAAGTGTGCAGCGACCATTATACATGCTCTGTACAGAATCAGTGGTGTTCGTCTCCACAATATGGTCTGCTTTCAGCATAGGAACCATCTACCTATTCACCCAATCAGCAGAGCAAGTCTTCGGCGAATTATACGGTTGGGATGCCGTCAAGGGAGGATACGTACAAGCGGCCGTTGTTATCGGCGAACTCATCGGTTGGATATACTGCCTTCTCACCAACCGCTGGTACTACCAGTCCGCCTTACGGAATACAGAAACCCCAGGAAAAGAAATCCCCGAAGCCCGTCTATACCAAGCCCTAGCAGGCGGGTTAATCGGTGTCGCCGGAGGCATGTTCGTCTACGCGTGGACATCTTACCCTTCTATCCCGTGGATTGCTCCAGCCATTGGTCTTGCTATGGTCGGCGCTGGCTGTACGTGCGTTATAGTCAGCAACGCAAACTACCTGATCGATGCGTATAGCATGTTTGCGGCGAGCGCTGTTGGAGCTATTGGTTTAGGCGAGAATATGTTCGTTGCGTTTCTTCCGTTGGCGGCTCAATCTATGTATACGAATTTGGGGTCACATTGGGCGAGTTCGCTTTTGGGTTTGGTTTCTCTGGTGTTGGCGTTTGCTCCGGTCGCGGTCTTTGTTTGGGGGAAGGAGATACGTGCTCGGAGTCCGTATATTAGGGAGGCTGCTGAGGAGGAGAGGAGGGATGTAGTGGGCTCTGCGGCGGGAATAGATGTCTAGTGATGTAGGTTATGGTTGGCTTGATTTTACTCTATTCCTCTGCTTGAGCTGGAATGTCGAACGCACATTTCGTATATTTTGTCGGAACGCTAACCGCTAGACCAAAAACGATATATCGCGTCTAGTCAGACCAGCGACGGAGAGATTACTGTCCCAACATATTTCAAGTGAAAGTTCGTTATAACTTGACATAAGGGTGTCAAGAGGAGAAAACCAAGTTTCACCTCTCTCCAACATGAATGCCCTGTCAAATTATCTCAGGCTATGTTTACCACTCAAACACCACCTTTCCCTTACCCGACTTAAACTTCACCTCCCACCCATACCTCCCCTTCGTCAACCCGTCAGTCTGCAATTGAATCCCCTTTGCGTCAGCCACTGAAGTAACGGAATACCCCACCGCCGCCCTCGTAGCAGGCACCCCCTCGGACCCATCAGCCCGATCAACCAAATCAAACTCGACCTTGTTCTCACCATACAAGACCCTCACCTCCTCAATAGCACCCGCATCAATCGAAACATCCAGCCCCAGATCTGCCAGATACACCCGCCTCCGAACGGTATCACGTGGCTGCACGATAACAGTATCATTCGAGGAAGATGAATCGATATTCCCTCCAAAGCTAACCCACCCGAACTCAGGATGTTTCAACAGAACCGTTACAGCACCAAGAACCTGGCCCAGAAAACCGGGTCCATAGTCACCGGTGTAGTCATCCCATGCTAATGTCTCTGGGAATGAATGGAACGACATGGACCCGAAGCCGTCGGACGCGACGTTGGTCGTTGGACCTTGGTTACCTCCGTAGCCGATGCGGAGGTCGTAGAGACTGGATTGGCTTGTTGGGTTTGTGAGTGAGCGGTAGTTATCGAGCACGGGTAGGGCGTTGAGACTGGATCCGTAGTGGTGGATTTGGCGCTCGATGCGGGAGAGCTTTCCTGCTGTTCTGTTATTTGTTAGTGTGGTAGTGGCTGATTGAGAGGGAGGAAACATACGTAAAGTCCCAGTATCGCCGGGCGTTGCCGTTCCAGCCCCAGTGGGCTACGGTGGGCATGTATCCTCTAATAGAGGCGATGGTTTTTTGTGCGGTGGATGTGTAGTTAAAGTATCTATGGACAGGAGTTAGTTAATTGTCGGAGGGGAATAGGTGGTGTGGACGTACTTGG